GCAGGCTGTCTGAATGAAAAGAATTCAGTACAAGTGAGGTGGAATATAAAAGTTGATATGGCATCCATTTGGCTCTCATGGAATGCTCACCCACTGAATCCAGCCACCATGCACATGCAGAAAGGTTCAATCCCAATGTAAGGTCTCACACAACAGCTAACCATCAACAACCTGATTAGAGTGTGCAAGATATTTGAGATATCTGTTAATCCCTATTGAACCTCTCTGCATGAATTTAGTTAGACCCACTAAGATTTGGGTTTGTTTAATACAATAGTGGATACTAAGAACAGTTTAGGTCCTGGATACACAGATGCCAACAAGATAATTATTGTAGCATGGCTTTGTGTTTCAAAAATTTCAGGGATCCTGGGTGGCTCAGTCAGTTAAGTGTCTGACTTCAGCTCAGGTCATTGATCTCGCCTGAGTTCAAGCCCCCAAGCTGGGCTCTGTGCTGGCAGCTCAGAGCCTGAAGCCCACTTTGGATTCTCTGTCTCTCTCTGTCTCTGTCTCTGTCTCTCTCTTTGCCCCTCCCCCTTGTGTTCTCTCTCACACAAATAATCATTTAGAATAGATAGATAGATAAGAATTTCATTACATACTGGGAAAAATTTTTGAGTGACCCTGCAGTCAATGGAGGTTTCAATTACAGTGGATTTTCCTCTTCAGCAAGAGTTATTTCACAAGGAAGCAGTCACAACAAACGTTCTGTGTTCATTATTTTTTCTCCACCTTTCTTCTGGCCAATTCCCCAGGCAACAGCCTGTATGACAGGCTCCTCTCCCTTGCCCTGCTCATAGGACAGAAAGACTTCCGGGACTTGGCACATTTTCAAAACTAAAAAAAAAAAAAAAAAAAAAAAAAAAAATGGTATTGAATATGAAGTAAAATACTTGAGGGACTCCTTCATATTCCAAAATGTATTTGAACAAGTTGAATTTCAAATACTTGATTTGTTTTTTCATATAAATAAGAGCAAACTTCCCTGAATAATCACTAAGTTATATCAAAATAAAAACAAGGTTTTGTGGACATCACAATGAGTTCTAGGTCCACAGAGAACAATCCTCCTGGTATCTAATGGAAAGGAAGAAACTCGGAGTAGTGTCAAGGGGTAATGGTCTCAGGTGACCACGAACCTCTCACTGGAATGTGCATGGAACTCAGTTCCGGCCATAAGTAATAGAGAAGATGCTGCCCTAAGGTTAGAAGAGACTTTGTAATTTCAGACAGAGTGAGCTCATCACAGTCATTCAAAGGGCAAAATGGTTTAAACACTAATCTTTAAAGGGCACTAGAGAATTATAGAAAACTGTACATGAGCACAAGTTCCTCATACAGCTTACTGTTTTCTTCTTTTTAAGAGTTTGGAAGTGACTCCTCTTTGACATAAGGTGGGAATTTTATTTTATATTTCTATTTATCACAAACATTGTGCTCTATCCACTAATAATGAAGTAGCTGTGGGGGTTAATCAGCAGTTAAAAGTAATGAATATACTAAGGGTACAACTGGATGGAGAGAAATGCTGTAGTTTTCCTATTCCTGGCACAATTAGCACACAGACGAAGCTATGAGAGGTTAGAAAGCTGCAGAGATCAGGACTGCAAACTCCATCCCAAAGCCAAGTGCGCAGCCGAGAGGGAATGACTCCACACAGCCAATAAGCAGAAGGGCACGTACAGCATCACAGGGGACTTGTGAGCAGGCAAGTGTTGCTGAGCCCCTGTTGGAAAAGTGGTCTCTACACCATGTGATGTTTTAGCAAACGGGAATGGAACCAGCAGGTACTCGTCACTTATTATCTGATAAGATAAGGATATGTGCATAGCATTGTAACCCTGCTAGGAGGTATATTTAGGGCCATGGAGAAAAGTAGCTACTTACACATATGTAACAGAACAGGGTTTGGATGTGAACACAGGTCCCTCTAATTCTGCTCAATACCTCACCCGCCCCCACCGCCACCTTACAAAACAGACTGCAATATAATTCCAGGTCTAATCTCAAGGCTAATTTGGTGTTTTCATTGTATCAAAAAAATTAGGCAGGAAAGAGTAAAGAAAAACATTTATAAAATCCTGCATTTTCCATATTTTACCCATTATTTCATCATAAATTTCACTGTGAACCATTGGCAATTTGATTCTTTGTGGGACTCCCCCACCCCACATACCTTTTTCCCTTTGACCACTTGGTAGACCATTTGATTTCATATTTAGCAGTTGTGATATTTAAAAACAAGTATTTCTGGGGCGCCTGGGTGGCGCAGTCGGTTAAGCGTCCGACTTCAGCCAGGTCACGATCTCGCGGTCCGTGAGTTCGAGCCCCGCGTCAGGCTCTGGGCTGATGGCTCAGAGCCTGGAGCCTGTTTCTGATTCTGTGTCTCCCTCTCTCTCTGCCCCTCCCCCGTTCATGCTCTGTCTCTCTCTGTCCCAAAAATAAATAAATGTTAAAAAAAAATAAAAACAAGTATTTCTTTGGTGGATCTAATATATAGCTTCATTAAAAGAGCCAAGGAAATAAGTTTTCTCATATATATATATATATATATATATATGAACTCAGAAAGCCATTTACAACTAGAGAAAACATAAGCCTTGTGAAACTCTATGTAAATCTTGTTAATTTCCTATAAGAATTCAGACCTATAAATCAATAAAGCACTCCTTTATTTTCCCATTAAAAATATCAGGGGTGCCTGGGTGGCTCAGTGGGTTAAACATCCTACTCTTGATCTCAGCTCAGGTCTTGATCTCAGGGTTGTGAGTTCAAACCCTGCGTTGGGCTCTGCGCTGGGCATGGATCCTACTTAAAATTCTAAAAATATCCCTATCTTCTCTGAAAATTGTTGAAAACCTAACTCAAAGCTGACTTTTCTTCTGATTGGGTTGAAAGAAACTTAAATGCACTTTTCCAAACACTTGGTTGTAAATATTCACCTTTGAATGTTGCCCTATGATCACAAATTAAGCGTAGCTGTCAGGAAAATTCTCTAGTTCAGGCTGGTGAGGAATGATGAGTGACATAGTGATCCCAGCACTCCCCAGACTGGCCAAGGTTTTGATGTACCTCTTGGGAGGTAGATTGGCTTATGGTGTCCACTGTGCAGGGTTTCGAATGGTAGTGGGACAAAAGAATCTGCCAGGTGGCTTACATCAAGATGCAGCCTCAAATTATGTAGGCCTCACTGCTAACTCAGAGAAATTAGACATACTAAATCCACCTGCAAGGGTGGGAGCACAGATAAACCAGGAAATGGGTTTTTCAGAAAAATAAATCGCTTAGGTCCCTTTCAGTCTACAGAAGTGTTATAGCCCAAGGAGGGTGAGTTGATCACAAAACAACTCCTTCGAACTCTGCCCTTGGAGAGTGATTGGAAGTAATGAGAATGATGTCATACTGACGTATTCTCAATCACTAGCTCCCTTGAGTATTAGGAGGAAAGCAGGATTTATTATCACTACAAAGGAAAAAAGAAAGTAACAGAGTCATAGAGTTTCAAATAATCCCAATTTCTCCTTATGTTTTTCTTTTCTCCTCTTGGAAAAACATGCCAGAAACCTGGGATGGATGTGAGTGAGGATATATAAGTCTCAAGAATGCTTCCCTGGTGACCTAGATATGTCCCTATTATAGGAGAAGCTGTGACAATTGTGTGCTATTTGATCAAATAAATATTTGTGGAATTCATGAATTGGCTTTGGATAGCCAGTTAAGCAAACCTATGCCTTAGAGTCCATGTTTGTAACATTAGGACCGACATCCCTACCACAGAGTCACAGGAAGAAATTTAGTGAGAAAATTCTATCAAACGCAAAGCATATTGACCAGCATATTTCAGATGTGAGTAAATACTGGTTACCTGACTTGCCTCCTTGTATATTTTTGTCCCAGTAACTGAGTACACAAGGATTATGCAAACTTTACAGCTAAAGGTATATTTTCTTTTTTTTCTCTTCGAGCTTTGTGGATTCTACAAAACATGTGTCTCTACCATTCTTTCCCCAAACTTCAACTGCACACCAATGTCTTCTCAATGTTTTCCTTTCCTTTCCAGACAATAGTGCCTGAAACCAAAACCCACATTGTGTGGGAAGTACCTGTGTTACTTTCATCATGTCATCTAACACACAGAGTGGATAGTTTAAGAAGCAATGGAAATGACCTGAAGAACTTGAGTTCCTCTAAGAGCTGGGCTGCAAAGAAGTTCTTGCCACCGGTGAGCCCGTTAGAAAATGTCCTGGAAATTTTCCTGAAAGTTCAAGAATTCAATAGGGTATCATGGACACAAATGAGCCATCCAGGATGGCATAGCCTCTCCATAACCATTTTGTCTCTAAGATATGCCTGAATGGGAGACAGGGATTGAACACCTCCAGCCTCAACATACTGTCATAAATAGGAAACCAACACAAATTTCAAAATGGTAAGTTCATTTATTACATCTATTCATTGGCATAATTGTTAGTCAAGCAGCCACTGCCTTCTGGGGAATAACTCTAGAGATTCCAGGAATGTTTGGAAGCCATTCAAAATCTTTTCCTTACTTCTTAAACTAGTAGTGATTCAGTCAACATTGTTAGGCACTTCCGTGTGCCAAGCTAGGACTAAACCACATAAGCATTTTACGCCTGTTACTTCTCATACTCCTGTAGGTGAGATAGTAACATTTTTTCCTTCATATTTCCCTCTTTCATGCAGATTCTCACTGTACAGGACAGAAAGGGGTGATATGATGGCGTTCCCAGAATTTATTTTAGCCTACTCTGTGGCATTTAGGCAGATTCTTCTACTAGAATCTTTCTCCTCATCACTCTGACCTTGAATTCAGCCAGATGCATTTAGCTCCCATTGCTTAGGTTCTCTCATTAACATTTGTCTTGCTGTTGCCCAGGAGCCCTTGATTAAAGGTCAGGTGACCTCAGTGCTTTTTATTATCTTGAGTATTGACCTCAAGAATGTCTGCACCTGTGGGAGAAAGTTACTGAGCCTAATGAATGATGGACAATCATACCACAGCGAGCACATTCCTTCTGTGGGGGTTTTCCAGTTTCCCAGACTTGCAGGGTCTCCTCTTTGTGATGATTTTCTTCTCCCATGTGACCATCCTAGCTGCAAATGTGTGCATAATGGTGGCCATCAAGCTGAGTCACAACCTTCACACCCCCATGTATTTTTTCCTCTGTGGCCTGTCCTTTTCAGAAACTTGTACCACTATGGCAATCATCCCCCGCATGCTAGTGGACTTGCTGTCAGATAGCAAGGCCATCTCTCTTCCTGAGTGTGCCACACAGATGTTTTTCTTCTTTGGCTTGGGAGCCAATAACTGCTTCATCATGGCTGCCATGTCTTACGACCGTTACACTGCCATTCACAGCCCACTGCGCTATAAGGTCTTGATGACCCATAAGATCTGCTTTCAGTTCATGATGGCCTCTTGGATGGCTGGGTTCCTGGTTTCTCTGTGCATCGTCATCACTGTATTCAACTTGTCTTTCTGTGACTCCAACATCATCGAGCACTTCTTCTGTGACATCTCACCTGTGGTCTGCCTTGCCTGTGATTACACCTCCCATCACAAAATGGCTATTTTTGTGCTCTCTGCCTTCGTGTTGGTGGGCAGCTTTGTTTTCATTATGATGTCCTAGGTCTTCATTGTGTCCAGAGTTGTGAAGATGCCTTCTGCCAAGGGGAAGTATAAGGCCTTCTCCACTTGCTCCTCCCACCTCACTGTGGTGTGCATACACTATGGATTTGCTGGCTTTGTCTACTTGAGGCCCAAGGACAGGGACTCATTCCGTGAAGACATGCTGATGGCGGTCACATACACAGTGCTGACACCTCTGCTTAACCCCATCGTTTACAGTCTCAGAAACAAAGACATGCAGACAGCCCTAAGGAAGGTATTAGGCAAGACAAATAGGTTCATCCCTCAGATGGGGAGTAGAAGAACGCCAGACATTAAAAATGTACAGACTGTTGATAAATAAAAGTGGAAAAAGTAGAGTATTTCCAATAAAATCATTAGTTTGTGTGCAAAGCAATTAAAGTGTATTCTAATTGTCTGATATGCCCTGGTCTCACTTCTTTCCTATTACAAAACCAGAGGTAGTTTTACAATATTTTAAAATGTTATTACACATATGTGTACATATACACATATAAATGCATATACATACAGGCACACACGCATGTAGTAAACATATCAAAAAGCAGTTTGGAAAACTATTTTCATAACCTTTGTTGCCTTTGGAAGAAGAAAAACATACTAAAATGGAAAAGGAGAAAAAATGAAAGAGCAATGGAGAAGGAAAGAAAAAACACGAATTTACTTAGTCAAAAGAGGAAAAACTATAAGCACACAAACTTAGACTTGAAATGAGTGAAAGGCTACAAATATAGAGAAATTTCCAGGAATTTTAAGAAATACCTTGCTCAATTCTATTCAAAGAAATAAGGAAACTAGATGGGAATGGAAGAATTTCTGGAAAAATAAACTGATGAAAATTGCTGCAAACAGACATTTTTAACATACCAAATTTCAGGAATAATATAGAAAAGTCTGTCAAAGAGCCATTCTTCCTATTGCCCAGCAAAGGAGTAGGCCGGATGGTTTCATAATTAACTTTCTCAAGCCCTCAAAAAGCAAATAATTCAAACGCTATTTGAGTTAGAGCATAAAGATAAATAGCTTCTAATTTATAAAAATCAGAGAGGTGGAAGGTGCTATATATAACTGAAGAATCTAATTGAGGCCATTGTGGTGAGGTTCTCATGTGGAGTGTGGAAGATGTTAGATGATGTCAGGAAGTCTAAGCATTTTGAAGTCACATTGTCTGATGGCACAGCCAGATGATATGAAGTTGCCAAAGCTGAAGGTCTGAGATGGGAAAAGATCAAGAGGTTGGTGGCAATTTGCTAATAAATAACAAGAAGTGGGGTGGTCAGTAAAAGACTCTGAGGACAACAGTGCAGTTGACCCTTGAAAAACATAGGTTTTAATCCACTCACATGTGGATTTTTTCAATGTAGTAATGTAAATGTCTTTTCTTTCCTTACGATTTTCTTAACATTTTCTTTTCTCTACCTTACCTTGTTGTAAGAATACAGTATATAATACATATAACATGCAAGATATGTTAATCAACTCTTTATGTTATCAGCAAGGCTTCCCGTCAACGGTGGGCTATGAGTAGTTAAGTTTTGGGGGAGTCAAAAGTTTTTGACTGTGTGGGGATCAGTGCCCTAAACCTCTGCATTATTCAAAGGTCAACGATATATTATTTCTTAGCTGGGTAAGATTGGTGCCAATGAGGGAAATGTTTTGTCATAAATATGCAAACAAACGATTTAGAAATATAGTAAGAAGCTAGGAGAATGCCAAATTGTGGCTGGCCTATAGAATAAGGAAGTGAGCAACTTCTCTTCAACAGAGCTGAGAAGTAATTGTGCCCTTCTCAGACAACAAGGTTTAGTTAAAATGAAGAGATAGAGAATGAGCTCTGTGTCAAGTCGATGGGTAGAGTGGAGAGAAGATTCCGGAATGGAAGCAAAACGTCTTGGGAGAAACCCCTGAAAAGAAAGAAGAATCTCAAGAGAGGAAGCATGAGGTTGTGCTACAGTGAATACAGGTGAGGAGAGTTCCCGCAGGGCTTGAAACTGAGATTCAAATCACAGCTTCATTGATTATATGTGGTGTCACAGCCTATTGGGTCTCCAGGTCTCAGTCTTTGTTCAGCACTGAATTAAAATTTGGCTAGAAGTTCTCTGACCAACCATTTCACAAATTTCACCATTGCATTTTCACAAATGTCCCCTAATTCACACGAAAGTCTCTGTTTCCTCATACGATCATCTTTACCTTTTTCATCTCATTAAGTCTCAATTCTGGCTAAAAGGGATTTACTCCTGGGATGCAAGGTTGGTTTTTTATTATTACTCTTATTACTAAAGTTTATTTTGAGAGAGAGAGAGAGAGAGAGAGAGAGAGAGCGCGAGCACTCATGAGCAGGGGAGGGGCAGAGAGAGAGGGAGAGAGAATCACAAGCGGGCTCCATGCTGTTAGCACAGAGCCCAATGCAGGGCTTCATCTCACAAACTAGGAGATCATGACCTGAGCAGAAACCAAGAGTTGGACGCTTAATCGACTGAGCCACCCAGGTGCCCCAAGGCTGTTTTAACATATGCAAACCAATCAATGTAATATACCACACTAATAGAATGAAAGATGGCAGAGCAGCATGGAATTTTTTTTTTTTTTTTTTTGGCCTCTCTCATCCCTGAATGCAGCTAGATCAACACAAATCACCTTGCACACCTAGAAAACTGATTTGAGGATTAACATAACAATCTGCACAATTTGAACCACAAAACTTGGCAAGTACAGTACAGAGAGGTGAGCTGGGGGAGAGAGAAGGCTCAGAGGGTAGGGGGTTGTTTTTGCTTGTGGAGAGAGAACAGAGACGGGGGGAGAGTACAGGAAAAACACTCCCCCTCAAAAGCAGCTGGAGAGAAAGAGAGCGGACTGAAAAAAAAAAAGGGGAGAAAGGGACTGCAAGGGAATGAACAGAGAAAGGAGAAAGGAGAGGATTTAGATTCCATTAAGATGCTATAAACAGGGGAGTGCAGAGTCTGAAACTCCACAGCTCATACCTGGTGGAGCTCTGGTGGGAAGGGCGAATTCCCCAAGAGCAGACAGTGAGATCTGAGGGGTCCACGGGGAGAGGTGGTTTCCCTGCTGGGATGACATTTGGTAGAGGCTGTGTGGTGTCCCCACAGGTGAAGGTCCCAGCGGACCCTGGAGAACAGCCACATTTGGTGGCGTTGGAACAAGGACGTTAAGGGTTCGCTGAAGCCTGGCACCAGATGTGTGTCGGGATTTACCATAATCTCTGAAACACTGCTGCTACATGATTGCACAAACTTTTTCTGGGGCGGTCTGGCACCTGGCCACAGTCTCTGGGCATCAGCAGCAGCACGGTCGCACAGACTTTCCAGGGGGCGGTCTGGCACCAGCCACTGCCTGGCGCATCTCTCCCTGAGAGGGTCTGCCCAGGTCAAAACTGCAACAGCCTCAAAAGTGAGGCATTTGGAAACACAGTTCCATCTGAGACAAAACTTGGGAGGGAGGTACCGCCTGGCAGACTAACAACTTGATCATGGACAGTGTAGAAGCAGGGAGTGGACAGAAGCCGGAGACAAAGGAGGAATACTTGATTGCGGGTCAGCAAGAGCACAGAGTTCTGATACCAGAGACTAAAGAGTAGATGACACCATTTTTACCCCTGTTGCGCATGCACATACACGCCTTCACACACCAGAATGATCCACCCCAGTAAACTAAGCAACACCATCTAGTGGAGAATGGAGCTGTTACACTAAGTCCTGCCCAACTGAGCCAAACTTTCTCTTGAGGAACACAAGTCTCTCTGCCTGCTTAGTTTACAGACTACAAAGTTCTTAATAGTTTGACTTTCTAGGGGAAACTGGATGTAATTTCAATCGTATTTCATTCTGTTCGCTGGTCCATCTATTCAGTTTTTTTTTCTTTTCTTATTCTTGAATACAGAAATAGAAAAAATTTATTTTTATTTCCGGTTTTATAAAAAAAATGTTTTCTCTAATTTTTTCTACTATATCTTTTACTTTTTTGTAAATTTTTAAAATTCTATTTTACTTTCATCATTTCATTTTATTCTATTTTACTGTATTCATTTTTTTAAAATTTTCAATTGTTTTCCTTCTCCCCCCCCCCATTTCCCTTTTTTTATCTATTCTATTATGCTTCTTTCAACAACCAGACCAAAACACACCTAGGAGCCAGCATCCTTTATTTTATTTTTTGTGTTGTTTTTAATTTTTTAAAATTATTATTTATTTTATTAACTCTTTTTCTTCTTTCAAAATGATGAAACAAAGGAATTCACCCCAAAAGAAAGAACAGGAAAAAATGACAGTCAGGGACTGAACATAGATACAAGCAAGATGTCTGAACCAGAATTTAGAATCACGATAAGGGGCACCTGGGTATCTCAGTTGGTTAAGCGTCCAACTTCAGCTTGGGTCATGATCTTGCGGTCCATTAGTTCAAGCCCTGTGTTGGGCTCTTTGCTGACAGCTCAGAGCCTGGAGCCTACTTACTTCAGATTCTGTGTCTCCCTATCTCTCTGCCCCTCCCCCACTCACACTCTGTCTCTGTCTCTCAAAAATGAATACATGTTTAAAAAAATTTTTTTTAAAAATCACGAAAATAAGTATACCAGCTGGGTTTGAAAAAAGCAGAGAATCCCTTTCTGTAGAGATAAAAGAAGTAAAATCTGGCCAAGGTGAAATTAAAAATGCTGTAACTGAGCTGCAATCTCAAGCGGTTGCCATGGCAGCAAGGATGGATGAGGCAGAGCAGCAAATCAGTGATATAGAGGACAAACTCATGGAGAATAATGAAGCAGAAAAAAAGAGGGAGACTGAGGCAAAAGAACATGATATAAGAATTAGGGAACTCAATGACTCATCTGAATCATAGGGGTCCCAGAGATGGAGAGAAAAAGGAGTAGAAGGTTTATGTGAGCAAATCATAGCAGAAAACTTTCCTAATCTGGCAAAAGACCCAGACATCAAATCTAAGAAGCATAGAGAACTCCCATTAGATTCAACAGAAACAGACCATCAACAAGGCATATCATAGTCAAATTCACAAAATACTCAGGCAATGAAACAATCATGAAAGCAGCAAGAGAAAAAAAAGTCCTTAACCTACAAGGGAAGACAGATAAGGTTCTCAGCAGACCTATCCACAGAAACTTGGCAGGCCAGAAAGGAGTGGCAGGATATAGTCAATGTGCCGAATTAGAAAAATATGCAGCCAAGAATTCTTTATCCACCAAGGCTGTCATTCAAAATAGAAGGAGAGATAAACATTTTTCCAGACAAACAAAAACTAAAGGGGATCGTGACCACTAAAGCCCTGCAAGAAATTTTAAGGGGGACTCTC